GCTGAACCCACAGGCCCCTCTTTGCTTGTTTTTCACTGGCTCGTTTTCTGCCTATTTAGCAAGGCGAACTGGTTTGGTACAAGGTTCAGCAACCACAAGGTGAAGATCGGGATGTTTTCGTGACAGCATTAGAAAGCTGCTGGTATCAGGTGAAATGGTGACATGTTGAGACTTGCAGAATGTTTTCATAAGCAAAAAAAGGAATGTGGTCTAGATAAAACTGCTTTGGGTTAAGTGTGGAATTGGTCAGGGGAAAAAAACTACACACTGGAAAGTGGTTCACCATTAAAACAGCAAAATGTATTCAGCGAAAGGGTCCTGCTTCTGTACAATTCAAATTTTTCATTGGTGAAGTCAGCTATGGGATAGAGTGTACTTAGTAAATGTGCAGGTGATGCAAAGCTGAGCGGAACTGAAAGTGCATTAGAAAACAGGGTAAGAGTTCAAAATTATTTTAACAAATTGGAGAAATGGTCTGAGAAAAATAGGCTGCAATGCAGTAAGGCTGTGGGCAAGTTTCTACATGTAAGCAAAAAAAATGTCAATAGAGCAAATGCAAAATTGACCGAAATATGAATCAGCAAAGCTATGCCATTGGAAAGATGGGAAATATCATACTAGAATCCATAATTAGATTTCCTGATGCAAGATATGTGACGTCATCCATCCCTTCCACTCAGCATTGCAAACATCAGTGAATGAACTGCAACCATTTTCAGGTCCAAACTCCCTAGTGACAGAGGGGAAAAAACCAAATAAACAGCCTTGGAGATCTCTAAAAATTACCGCCAAGCAGAACGTCAGAGAACTGATCAGCCTGAGGAAAAACCAACTGGGATACAGCAAACACCCAAAACATTGCTGCAGAGGAAAAGGGAATAATCTGTCCTCCCTGTCTGTAGCAAACAGCAAGCTTAAATTGCAGCAGGAGGGATCCGAGTGGATGGTAGGAGCAACTTTCTAAGGGCGAAATGGTGAAGCAGATCACAGGGGAGGCTGTGAAGTCTCAGGGTAGGAGGTCAGGCAAGTGTCTGTCTGGATCAGCGAAGGTAGAGACCCTCCTCTCATCCCAGGCCCCACTGACTGGAGGCCCCTCATGGTCCTTCCTGGCTCCAGGGGTCTGTGTCTCAGAAGCAAACACAGCTCTTCTTTCTTCCCTGCCCCATCTTGTCTTTCCTGAAGTCTCCCCATTTCAGTGCTGAGATGTAGGTCGCAGTTTATATGACAGAAGGGTGCATAAAAAAATCCAGACTCAAATTACACCTACATTTCTAATTCCAGAAAGGTTAAAGGAAGCTTCACCTTCTGTCTACAGCAAGGAAGATGTGCTGAAGAGCATGTGCAATAAAACATCAGAAAAAGGTTTACCCTTAAAGATCCAACCCTGCACTCCTTGCTCCGTCAGATCTTTTTTGCTTTCTCACCCGTTAACTTTCTTGTGTAAACTTCACCACTGTCAGAGCTGCTCCTACACTCAGATCGAGGAGTAACTTGAGGACTGTGCAACCTGAGGACTAGCAGACACGGCAATCAATTTACCAAAGTGCAGCAGCACGCAGGACGGTGGCTCAGGTGTGCAGGGGCACGAGTTTCCAGGCAAGTTGCCGATAGATTATCTTTTCTCCTCTCCTGTCTAGGTCTTAAGTCTCCTTAGGTTCTCGTCTTCAGTACGACACCACTCCTTCATTTTGTTGTATATATAGTCAACTACAACACCGCTAGCAAGCTGGCTCAAACAGTGCTCAAAAATGCACCCGCAAGGCCGAGGGCCGCTCCCCATTCAATGCCAGTGGTGGTTCCTCCTTTCCGTCACAAAGCCAGGCTTAGTGAGGTAGAGGGACTTACTCGCACCAGCTTAGCAAGGGAGAGGGAGCTCAGGCAGACGGCCCCACACTGTGCCTGCAAGCTTTGCCTTTCCCGATCTTCCTTCCATGATTAATCTAAGTCAGTAACCTCACTGCGTGTGAACCGGGAAAGGTAAGCTCATGTTGCAGCCTCAGTCTTTGCCTCATCTGTAAAGAAATAAATACCACTTAGTTAAGTAAACTTTATTGGTATGGGGTTCCTCGGTTTTGGAAAGCAGAATGGATTTCATCCTGGAAAAAAAAAATAATTCTTTTTCAGTGTGTCGAGTTAGATAAGCTTCCAAAACAAGATGAGGATATTTTTTAATGGATGACTATTACTTAGCACAAGCAAGTAGATTACAGATGGTCCCGCAATTTTAATTGTATGGCTGTGGCTTTATACTGTATTATAATATAATAATTATATGGCTGTAGCAATACTGCCTTCCCTTGTCTGTCATAGGCTTCCTGCAGGCCCCTGCATGAACCATTTAACCTCTGTCTTAGGCTCTCTCCTTCCTCTTGGGCTTTATGTGCCTTGTCTGTTAAGACCAAAGCCACTTTTGTTCACAGTGTGCTGAGTTTTTTAATACATCAGGCCTCAAAAGCTTCTAAGACACGTAATTAAAGTTTCACGTGCAAAGTTACAAGAGAAAGCTGTAACCTAGGCATTCAAACAGCTAATTTAAAAAATATTCCTGGATGTACCCAGGATGGAGGATAAATTTGGAGACGAGGGCCTTTGAAGTGTATACCAGGAAACAGGTAAGCAACCCAACATTTGGAGGAAATCTTGTAAATTCTGTGGTAGACACTGTTGCTACTGGCACTATCTCAGGTAGCTGGGCTGGCAACCTGAACATACAATTCCTGATGGAGGAAGGAAGATGCAATGTCCCCCGTACCCCAGAGATGAGGAA